TTTAATCCTAATCCTAGACCCATACATGCAACGAATCTATTCAGAGTGCAGGAAAGCAACTTTTTAAAAATCATTTCCTCTCCTTGTTTAAATATTATACATTCATCAAAGAAAACAGAACTTTCTGGAAGAGACTAGGTACAAGTTCTCTAAATCATCTTTAGTACTTGGGGGAAAAGCTGCGGTGGCAGGAAAACTTTGTTTTGCCAGCCGTATTCTTCTGTCAGAGCACCACTGGGGAGCAGGCTTCTGATGTGAGCAGAGCACTCTTCTCTCCAGCAAGACCCAATTTAAACCATACCAAATTTTGAGAAACCAATGGCAAATAGGGACACAGTAGGACCTTTTTTTTTTTTTTTTTTTTTGCTAGCTTGTGGCAGTCTTTTCTCATCTGTTCCATTTTTTATTCCTTCTAAAGTGAAATGATCCATTAAGTTCACAGAGGCAAGCATACAATACACATGAATCTCTGATTACACCAATTAATTAATGCATGATGAGGTCAGAAGCTATGGTCTGCAGTACCCATTATGAGGAGGTCTAAAGAATATGAAAAAATTGAAAATAAATTTAGTTTTAATGGACTCATGATTAGAAACAGGTCTGAAAGAAACTATTGACATTCCTTCCTTCTGTGGTGAATTAAGGACAAAGGATTGAACTCAGAAAAAGGGGAAAGTTTACCATTAAGGTAACTTCTAGAGCAAGGATTTGAGAATTTACACAACAAAGGAGGAAGTGAGTTCTTCTTTGACACGAAGGCAAAAAAAAAAAAAAGTACAGCTTTCCGGTACCACTCAGCTGAACTCTCCCCTCCTCAGGAAAGTGATAAACTTGTGGAATAACTTTTTTTTTTTAAAGAGAGATATGCAGGGGCTGGTGCTGTGGCGTAGCAGGTAAAGCTGCTGCCTCAGTGCCAGCATCCCATATAGGCGCTGGTTTCAAGTCCAGGCTGCTCCACTTCTGATCCAGCTTCCTGCAAATGTGCCTGGGAAAGCAGTGGAAGATGGCACAAGTGCTTGGGTCCCTGCATCCGCGTGGAAGACCTAGAAGGAGCTCCTGACTCCCGACTTCAGAACGGCCTAACTCAGGCAGTTGTAGCCATTTGGGGAGTGAACCAGCAGATGGAAGACCTCTCTCTCTCTCTCTCTCTTTCTCTCCCCGCCCCGCCACCGTGTACCTCCCTCTCCCTCTCTTTCTGTAACTCTGTCTTTCAAATAAATAAATCCTTAAAAGAAAACAAGAGAGATATGCAAATATATTTGCTGTATGACAGAAGGAATATGTTGCAATCAGATCAATAGCACAGTGACATGAGTATTCTGCCATATTTACATATAAAATCCTCTTCATAATTATATTTATTATAATAGTATTTCATTTGTACTATTAAAACAATATAGTATTGGCAGCCAGCATTTATTTAGCATAGTGGTTAAGATGCCTGCATCCCACATCTGAGTTCCTGGGTTCAATTCCCAGTTTCCACTCCTGACTCCAGCTTCCAACCAATGCGGACACTCAAGTGCCTTCTCAAGTAATTGGGTTCTTGTTACCCACATGGGAGACCTGGATTGAGTTTCTACTCCTGGCTCTAACCCTGGTTCCAGCCCAGTGCAGGCTGTTATGGGCATTTGGGGAGTGATCCATCAAATGGGATCTCTTTCTCTCTCTCTCTTTGTCCCTCTCCCTCTCAAATAAACAACAATTTTCAAAATAAAATGACATATAATATTAATCATTTTATAAGTCAGTGCTCCAAATCCATGGATTCCACATCCACGGGGTCACGAAGGACTGAATGTATTTTTAAAAGTATGTATTTCTACCGAACTTGTACATGCTTTTTTCCTCACCATTTCCTAACCAACACAATATAACAACTGCAACAGCATTTACATTGTATTTAGTATAAGTAATCTAGAGAGGATTTAAAGTGTAAAGTAGGATGTGTGTGGTTTACATGCAAGCACAACAACATTTTATATAAGGGACTGGGGCATCTACAGGTTTTTGTGTCCACGCTGGATCCTGGAACTGTGGTCCCACAAATACTGAGGGATGACTCTATATGTATCGTAAAAGCTAGTGTGCCATGTGTACTTAGTATTCATTTGTGCCAGACATATCATAGGTGTTCAGTAAGTGGTGGAAAAAAGTATAAAATGTTGATTTGATTTCACAAGTATGCATTACATGATTCCTCTAGATTCTTATCTGACTTTTTTAGGGGTAAGATTAACCTGAGAGAATTTAAGGTGTGTAGCCCTTCCAAGCAGTGTGCCTAGAGATCCCACAGATGCTGCAACCCATTTGACAGCCTTCTTAAAATTACACTTAAATACAGGCTAGCTTACATTATAATGCCCCTAATGCCAAAATTAATGGTTCTTCCCATGCATCACACAAAGGAAAGATTGTTTTTCTCCGTGTTACTTTCTCAAGGTAAGTTTTGCAAATTAAATTAGAACCTGCCTGATCTAGCTGTTTGAGCATCTACTAATATTTCTAAATGTTAACCAATAGGGTGAATACAAAAGAATTAGAGTAGTTGTTATTCCATGATCAATTCTTTTTCAGTAACCTGGATCTTTGAAATTTTTTATTTTAAAGAGATCCCATGTTGATAGAACTTTCCTCTTAAGCCCTGGATATTTGCTAGCCCTGACCATACAGGTTAAAGGTTGCAGTGTCTGATACATTGCATTTCCTGTACTTGGCATTCTCTTTTCTACACAATAGAATGGTGACACTCCTGCTATCAAGGACTGGGATATATGTTTCCTCCGCTTGAATCTGAGAGCCCTTGAATGTGACATCCAAGATTAAGTCATAAATGTTGGAAGAGCTTGTGTCTACTGCTTTTGCACACTTGATCTCAAAACCCAACCAGTAAGTTGGAAGGTGGCATACAGGCTGTGTTGGGTGTTTTAGACGATAGCTTGTTGACATCATAGCCCAAAGCCCAAATCAAGGCAACATGTGAGTGAGGAAGCCAAGATGACTCCAACACCAGGGATTGTCAAGCTACTTGAGAAAAAAACTGCAAGAGACATTTGTCCCTCCGAGCCAAGCAAACCTCCAGAATCACAAGGGTTAGTAATAAAATGATTGGAAGGTTTAAGCCACTAAGTTTTAGAGTAACACATTACACAGCAGTAGATAATTGAAATGAGAGAGACTTAAGCTCTCCTTAATTTCCTAAGGAGCCTGTTATAGTCTGAAGAATTCACAGTATTCTTTATTTTGGGGAGGTTTCCTTTTGATCACCTAACAAATTATGAAAGTAGAAGTCAGATTGGATTGTCAACTACGTAGAAATCAGTGATCACTTTCTCTCTTGGTTCTGTCCAGATGACTGGAAACCACAAAAGCTTGACAAAATTAGGGGAATACTTCAAAATACTAAAACATAAAAAGAAAACCCAACTACAAACCTTATATAAAATATCACATCATTTTTGGTGCTTAAAATGTATTTTTGTGCATATAACTGAACTCATTTAAGGCAAAGATTTTTATTCATGCTGTATCCTCAAAGCCTACAATGTGGCCTAGCACAGAGACACAATAAAAATAAGTTGGGCCGGCGCCGCGGCTCACTAGGCTAATCCTCTGCCTAGCGGCGCCGGCACACCGGGTTCTAGTCCCGGTTGGGGCGCCGGATTCTGTCCCGGTTGCCCCTCTTCCAGGCCAGCCCTCTGCTGTGGCCAGGGAGTGCAGTGGAGGATGGCCCAGGTGCTTGGGCCCTGCACCCCATGGGAGACCAGGAAAAGCACCTGGCTCCTGGCTCCTGCCATCGGATCAGCATGGTGCGCCGGCCGCAGCGCGCCGGCCGCGGCGGCCATTGGAGGGTGAACCAACGGCAAAGGAAGACCTTTCTCTCTGTCTCTCTCTCTCACTGTCCACTCTGCCTGTCAAAAAAAAAAAAAAAAAAAAAAAAAGTTGAATGAATGAATGGAAAGACATCTGACAGAAGAAACACTAACATTTATTTCTTGTGGCTAAGATTAGCATGGTGTTTCTTCTTTCTCTTCATTTTTCTACCATGGTTATTTATATAAAATATTTGTAAAAGTACCTAGTTTATTTTAGGATAAAAAAGTTATTATACACACATACACATATAAACAAATCTTTTTCTAAGCAAAATATCCTCATAGGAAAAATCTGCATAATGATAGACCTCAAAAGGAAACTTTATATTGTATAGAAGCCACTGATAAATGACTTTGTTAGCGACAATATGATTTCTGTACAAGGTTTTGTGGAAACATAACTGTCAAAGAGCAAATTATTTTCCTTATTTTTGTTATTTTATTATGATCACTTTATTTAGATCACTTGGGATTCCTGTTGTTTGCTAATTTAAATCAACTTATTCCCAAAAAGGCCCTGAGAAAGTCTTTTGCCACTATGTTCAGATTCAGAGTAAAAAACAGATTTCAGTCTGCATGTCTAGTCTGATTGATTATATTTACTATTGACTACCTAACATGCTCTGTGGAGGATTCTAAGTTTAAGTGATGCCTGTTTGATTAGCAATGTCTGCCATGGATCAGACATAGAGGAGGCCAGATTGCCTGTGAGCACGTGACTTGCACAAATACTGTTAACCTTTATCTTGTGTTAGACCTCACTTTTTTATAAACTGCTGATACTAATTAACTTTTGTTCAGAATGGAGAAGGCAGAATCATGGCTCTGAAAGATGTCCTTATTCTAAACAGTTGATCTTGATTGTGCCAAGATAAGATGGTCACTGATTGCTATGTAACTGGAAGTCTAGTTTGACATCTTTTTCCATTGTAATTGCTGTCTGAAGGGGACTTAAGGGGGCCGATCACATAACGCTAAAATAGGGAGAGATCTCTTTGATTATCTAGGCAGGGCCATTGTCTTTACAAGGGTCCCAAAAATGGAAGAGGGAGGCTAAAGCAATCAGAGGGACTCCTCTGTGACATAGAAAAGAGAACCAGAATGTTGGTGAGCTGAGGGTTCCTTTTGGCTTTTCTAGTTTTGAAAATGGACTGAAGGGAGCCAGAAGTCAAGGAATGTGGTCTCTGGAAGACATGGAAGCAGATAGTCTGGTAGAGAACCTCAAAAGAAACACACACTGCTCAGTGGGATCCATGTCACACTAATAACTACAGAATGGTAAGAATGGACATTTTATTGTTTAAACTGCTAGGTTTCTGGTAATTAGTTTCAGCTTCAATAGTTACAGCTGTAAATTCCACAACTCTCCCAACTGCTGACCCACTGAGTTTTCTGCAAATCTCTTTACAATTCATGGCTGGTTTCTTCTAATAATTTTAGGATCAAGTCTCCCAAGCGCCTTTTTATTATTATTATTATTTTAAAATATTTATTTGTTTATTTGAACGGCAGAGTTACACAGAGAGAGGGAGATATACACACACAGACACACAAATTTTCCATTCGATGGTTCACTCCCCAAATGGCCACAATGGCTGGAGCTGGGCCAGGCCAAAGTCAGGAGCTAGGAGCTTTGAGTGTCAGGGGCCCAGTGCTTAAGCCATCTTCTGCTGCTTTCCCAGGCACATTAGCAGAGAGCTGGATCAGAAGTGGAGTGGCTAGGACAGGAACTGGTACCCATGTGGGATGCCAGTATTGCAGGCAGCAACTTAACCTGCTATACCACAACGCTGGTCCTCTGCATTGCATTAAGTTGTAGGAGAAGGAGCAAATGTTTACGGGTTCGGATGCCTGCATCCCACATTCTTTACTAGGATTTGATTCCACCTCTGGCTCCTGACGTCAGTTTCCTGTGATTAGAGACTCTGGAAGGCAGTGTGGATGGCTTTAGTAATTTAGTTCCTGCTACTTACCTGGGAGACCTGGATTGAGTTTCCATCTCCTGGCTCTGAGATCAGTCCAGCCTCAGGCACTGAGGGCATTTGGGAGTGACCCAGAACATGTGTGATCTATGCTTCTTGCTTTCTCTTTTTCTCTCTCCCTCTCTTTCTACCTCTCGGCATCTCAAATAAATAAGAATAAAGAGGAAAAAAATTGTATGAGAAGCACACAGCTTTCATCCCTGCTGATCAATGTTCTGCTTAATGTCCTTGCCTCTTAAATCATTCTTTATGCAGTAACACAACAATACATTGAACAATTACAGTTATGTGTCACTTCACAACAGGGTCATGTTTGAGAAATATATCATGAAGCAATTTCACTGTTGTGTGAGCACCGTAGGGTCTACTTGCTCAAACTAAGATGCCTGTGATGTCACTGGATGATATAATCTTATGAGATCACCGTCATATATGTGGTCTGTCATCCACAAAACTGTCATTATGTGGCACATGGCTATCCAGGACAAAGCATTTGAACTTGTGAAGCTGTGTACTGCGAGAGGATGATGTGTAATAAGACTATGGCTCTGAGGTAAAACCGTAATCACTGAATACCAGATTTATATAAAGAATGTTGACATTTCATTAAAATGAATCATCACTTCATATACATCTTCTCATTAAATATATAAAGCAAAATCATAAGGTACATATTATTTTCCCTATTTCACAAATGAAGAAATCAAGGCCCAGTTCAGAACTTAATTATGGAAGTCCAAGTAGAGCTGAGCAAGTTCCCTTGTTGGATCAGATCCTTTGGGGTAAAAGATTTGCCCTCTGCCTTCTTGTTCTCTCAAAGCCATACTTTACTGACATAGCACACCTTTTAGAGCTCTGGCAATATGTAGGTGATTTGCTTTAATCCTAACAACCTGGTGGCCACACTCTTAATATTTAATGAAAGTCAAAGCAGTGTCTATAGCAATGCTTCTCAAATTTTGTTGCATTTCAGATCCACATGAGAATGTTAAAAAGTCCAGGATCTATGCCACACCCATTACCAATTAAATAAAAATCTTTGCAGTAGATTTATATGCTTGCTTTTTTTTTTTTTAATTTAGAAGTTCCAAGGTGATTTCAGGTTTGGGAACTCCTGATTTATAACTAGGGACTGCAGGGATTATCTCCCCAGCATGTAACTGGTTTACAGCCTAGCAGGGGTAGGGAACCCATTTTTCTGCCAAGAGCCATTGCATATTTATAACATCATTTGCAGGCCATACAAAATTATCGACTTAAAAATTAGCCTGCTATAGATTTCTTGAATTTCGAGCCCTGCCTGCAGTTACTTTGGGAGGGCCAGATCAAATATAGGCCAGAAGTGGAAAGTGTATAAGGTCCAAGGGCCTGGTGTTCTCCACGCTGGAGGGTAGCATTCAGTTACATGAACTTATATTGATTTTAATGCCTGGCTTTGAGAGTTTCCCAGAAAGTGTCTTGAGGTTGGAAGTTTAATGAGGTCCAGGTTCTCTTAAACTACAGGTTCATTTTTAAAAGCATTTTGGATTTCTGAGCCTGCTTGGTGATATAACTTAACTTTAAAAAATTGTACGTATTTTTCCCAATAATAATTCTTTTAATGGTCTCACCCTCTGTGCTTTCTCTATTTGTATCACCAGTATCTATTTAAAGAATGTGTGTTTTCTAGTCTGTTACCATTAGGTTTTTCATATTGACACCAAGACAAAAACATGGAAGCAGGAAAGTGTTTTAAAGAGTATTGTAAAAACAGGAAATCCAAAGATAGTGCCCTTCTTGTGTTTCAAGAAGGAGATACTCCCTGCAGTCCCTGGTTATAAATCAGGAGTTCTTACAGTTCTTACAGTGGAAGAGAAACCCCATGTCCCAGTGGGCCAGGCAGGAAATCTAAATAAACAAAAAGAACAACTTGTTTAAAGAGAGAATGAGATAGATAGATAGATAGATAGATAGATAGATAAAGAGAAAGAACTTAGGGGGAATACAGTGTCCATGGCTGCCATGTTATCTAATTTTTAAATAAAGCTATTTGATTTTCTCTATATATTTTCAAAGTCTGGTAAAAAATTTTAAAACAGTGTGTCATTCAAATGAAACATGCCTGTGCTTTGAACACTATCCACTGGCTTCCCATTTGCATTTTAAACACAGACAGTGGTGGATATTCATGGGCAAGCATCCTTAAATGAGCCTTCTTGGAACCCAGCCTTGACTAGAATAAAAGAGGATGGTACAAACTTCTTGACAGCAATGACAAAAATAAGGATTTTTTTTTGGTGAACTAAACATTTTTGGTGATCTTCATTACAACATGATAAAATATACATTTTCTGAAGCAACTATGAGCTTGTGATAGTTATTATCATAAGGCTGAACAATTTTGCATTAGTTTATTGCCTAGAGTGCTGCGTGTGCATGTTCTGTATAGCTAACACCTATTATCTATTAACAATATTGATCAGGAAAGAATTAGGGAATCAAGACTACTTCATAGTTACGGACGATCTCAGGAAATTGTGATAATGCCTTTTGAGAGACGACAGTTGTTGAGGCATGGGGTTTAGAAGTGAGCAAAGGGGGCAGGTGCTTGGTACTGAAGTTAGGATGTCACTTGTGACATTCCCATCCCATATCAGTACCTTGTTTTGAATTCTGCCTCTGTGTTTCTAATTCCAGCTTCCTGCTAAAGCACACCTGGGGAGGCAGTGCTGTTAGCTCAAGTGGTTGCGTCCCCACCACCCTTGTAGGAGATCTGGATTGAGTTCCTGGCTTCTGGCTTTGTCCTGGCCCAGCCCCAGCTGTTGTGAGCATTTAGGGAGTGAACAAAGAGATGAAAGATCTCTGTCTATCTCTGTCTCTCTGCCTTTCAAATAAAATGAAAATACATAAATAACAACTTTTTAAAAAATGAGCAAAGGGAATTTCAATCCAGGAAAACTGTGTTCAGAATTTCATTTTTTATGAATGCTTTTATAAACTCATCTTTTATTCTAGCCATCATCCTCAAACTTAAACCAGACAGTCTTTTTCTCTTTGTTGCCTAATTGTTTGCAAAACAACCAGACCAAATTCAGATTTCTCTAGTGTTCTTCCCCTGCTTCAGTTTACCTTCCCTCTGAGCCAGAGGCTTTGCACTGTGTGTACCACACATACTGGCCGCGGTGGCTTCATTCTTTTTTTTTTTTATTTTTTTCACAAACTTTATTTAAAATTTTTTTGAAGATTATTTATTTAAAGAGCAGAGCTACAGAGAGGCAGAGAAAGAGAGTCAGAGAGAGAGGTCTTCCATCCACTGCTTCACTCCCCAGATGGCCATAATGGCTGGAGCTGGGCTGACCCAAAGCCAGGAGCCAGGAGTTCCTTCCGGGCCTCCCACATGGATGCAGGGGCCCAAGGACTTGGGCCATCCTCTGCTCCTTTCTCAGGCCATAGCACAGAGCTGGATCTGAAGTGGAGCAGCCCCACACGGGGTGTCAACACTGCAGGCAGCGGCTTCACCCACCAAGCCACACAAACAGCTCTTTCATTCTGAAGTCTAAAGCCTTTTAAGATTAGTTAACCTGCACCCTGCAGTGGCTGGAAATGTAAATAACCATTTTTGTTTCCCCTAATTTGATTAGCTGTGAAATGCGATTTCTCAATAAGCTTACAGCTCAACCCTCTGCTCAGTTCCCTGACGTTTGTTAATGGTTAAACTCTTAATTCCAGTTAGTGAGAATCATATTCAAAAAGGCCATCTTATTTTAGTCCCTTTGTTGTAGACATGGTCACAGATAGAAAGGTGGAATGGAAGTGATGACAATACTTCCTTATTTTCTAACACCATAGTATTTGAGAGCTAGCAGGAATTACAAACATATCGTGGTGAGCCTGTCTGTTTACAATAGAGGTTAATGATTGGGCCAAGGTCATACATCTGGCCAGGGGACATGCTAGACCTGAATCCACAAATCATGACTTCCATCTTAAAGTTCCTCACAAATTCCAGGCATTTCCACACGTGGCCCTTTTAACAGCACCATACAATAGTCAGGGTGGTAATTATTCTCCTGTTTTGGAAATGATTGAACTGAGTTTCTTCAAAGGTCTAGAAATGTATTCAAGGTCAAATACCAGAAGCTGGAGTTCTCCTTCATACTCAGGACTCAGGTTGAGAATGCCCAAGCCAGCTATGTTGGTTATGCTTTCCAATATCTTGGAACATGAAGAATTGCCCAGGCAGTATCACATTTAACTGTTTACATTTAACAAAGCAGCTGGTTAGCATGGCTCCAAGATTCCAAGACAAGTAGAAGTACTAGGTATAAGTAGAAACAGCTGGACAGTGTCTAAAGTCTGCATTTCAGACACTGGTGAGTGTAGTTGTCCTTGTGGATAATTTATCTTGACTCTTGATAAATCAGGATGGGCCCTGATCTTTGGTAGGGGAAAGGTGGGGAGGAGAGGGAGAGAGCAAGAGAGAGACCGACTATATCACCTGTATATGACTTTTGGCAAGTCATATACTTGCCAAAAACAAAACACACGGAACTTTGGGTTTTTAGGTAGCCCTTCAACTTCTTTGCAGAGGGGGCATTAATAGCTGGAGTCTCTGGATTTGCATAGTACTTTAAAATTAAGAACACTTTTCAAAGAACGAAGGCGTGGGTGGATGTAGTACCTGGCACAGATTATTGGGTATGGGTGGAGAAGGGGTGTTGTACAATGAGAAATAGGTATTTGATATTTGCCCTTGATTCCTAGCAAAATTCTTGGAATCTCTTGGAGTGCTAAGAAGGTCTTTGCTTGTTTGTGACATGACTGGGAGCTAAGAGCCCCCAAGGAACCAAGCATGATCATGAGGAGGGGAGAGGGGCTGGGAGTTGAGTTCAGTTACCAGGGACCAGGGATCTAATCAGTCTTGTCCGCATATTGGAACCTTCATCAAAACCTCTGAGCAACACAGTTCAGAGCGCTCCTTTCCTCCCTTTCAAAAATATGTATCAAGTAGAGATTATGTTTCAGGCATTGGGCTATAGAGGTGAACAAGAGCCACAGGCCCTACCTCACCTGGAACTTAGCTACTGGAGAGAAAAAGAAAATAATAAGAAAACATGATATAAGTAACTGGTAGTATGATGAGAACGCAAACAGGGCAATTTGATAAAAAATAATTACCACACAAGGAGTAGGCATTCTTTTCCCAAAACATTTCCCTGTTTCCTGGGGTATCTCATTTGTCCTTTTCTCTAATAAAGCGCTGGTCCGAGGTAGTCAGATTTTAAATGTAGCAGCAGTCTAAACATACTAAAGAAGGCATGACCTGGTTCACACACACACACACACACACAGAGAGAGAGAGAGAGAGAGAGAGAGAGAGAGAGAGAGATGGCGATGCCTCCTAAGCAGGAGGCAATATCAGGTGACTGAATAACAATAGAATCAAACTGGAACCCCATCAGAGAGCCTCTTAAAGGCAGCTGCTTTGGGAAGTTACAGAAGTACATCAAGGAAGCTGCCACTGGTAGGACAGTTTAGATGTTCTCCTTTGTGATTGAGGACTTGATAGCACTTTCTCTTGGATAATACCCCAGCCTAGCAAAATATGTCTTTTCAAGATGGATGTGAATACTGGAAAAACATATTCGGGTGTCAATGCTGGACAGCAGCTTTTTGTTTTACAAACAAAATGTGAAGTAAATCTAAAAGTGTCTTGAACTGGAAGAAGGGAGACAGGAGCGTGGCAGTTGGAATAAATGTGTCTATTTTGAAGACAAGTGTGTTTTTTTGTTCAAAATTTATTTCTTCATTTGAGAAGCAGAGTTACAGACAGAGAGAGGGAGAGACAGGGAGAGAGAGGTCTTCCATATGCTGGTTCACTCTTCAAATGGCCATAACAGCCAGAGCTGAGCCGATCTGAAGCTAGGAGCCAGGAGCCAGGAGCCAGGAGTTTCCTCAGGGTCTCCCACATGGACGTACAGGCCAAAGCAGTTGGGCCATATTCCACTGCTTTGTAACACCATAAATAGAGAGCTGAATCAGAAAAGGGATAGCTGAGACATGAATTGGTGCTCATAAGGGATGCTGGTGCTGCAAGTGGAGGCTTAACCTACTATGCCACGGTGCCAGCCCCAAATATGGTTATTTTGAGGGAGCATTTTATTTGAATAAACAAATTCAGATATGTTTGCTTAAATCTTTCATTATGCAAAATAACACCTCTTAATTTTTGGACACATACCCCTAGGTTTCTAGAGGACACAAGTGTGTTGCTTAGAGGTCATCAGTTCATTGGTTTCTTTTTGCCTCATTTCCAATAAAATCTACTAATGGGATTCTCTCCTCTTTATATTGGTTGTGGCCTTAGACAATAAATTATTTCAATTCCTTCCTGCTTACCATTGCTTTTTTTTTTTTTTCAGAACTAGCTGTAATCCCTAGTAGAGTGAAAACTGGTAGGAATGTGTATCTTACGTGCAAATTCTCATCATTCTCAGGTTTGGTCCTTTTCAAGCACCATGCAATATGCAGAGTAGAGATTATTGTTCCATTTACAAATGATTTTTAAACTGGATCTCTGAAAGTGTAGAAATATGATGCCATTCCCACAGGTATGGGTGGTGGCTCCTTGGGGCAACACTTCAGATGCTGGTTGGGATGCCTGCAACCAGTATCAGAGTGCCTGGGTTGGAGTCCTGGCTGTGCTTCCAATTCCTGTTCCCTGCTAATGTACACAATGGGATACAGCGGGTGATGGCTTAAGTTCTTGGGTCCCTGCCACCAACATGGCAGACCCAGATGGAATTCCTGGCTCCTGGCTTCAGCCTAATCCAGCCCTGGCTGCTGCAGGCATTTGAAGAATGCACCAGCAGATGAAAGATTTTCTTTAAACATCTCTACCTCTCTGTATATCTGCCTTTCAAAATATGTAAAAATTTAAAATATGTTAGTTCCTTAAAAATATTTGTGAAAATTAGATTACTTTTGTGCAAGAATGTTCTGATATCCTTAAATTATTTCTGCATAATATGCATTTTCCACAAACTTTATGAAGAGCCCAGCATAGCAATCACCGATGGGTGGGTTGTTTCCCTCCCCAACTCCATCTTGAGTCTATAGACTCTAGAACAGGGGTAGGGAAAGTGGTTTTTTTTTTTTTTTTTTTTTGCCAAGAGCCATTTGGATATTTATAACACCATTGCTGGGCTGTGCAAAATTGTCAACTTAAAAATTAGCCTGCCATAGATTTATTGAACGTCATGTCCCACCTATGGTTGCCTTGGCAGGGCTAGACCAGATGATTTGAAGGGCCTTATATGGCCTTATATGGTGGGACATTCCCCACTCCTGTTCTAGAAGAATACTTTGCTAAAGCCTCAGAGAGAATTTGAGGAATGCTCACATCTGATTTTAAGATTCAGGCTATTTTTATCGTGTTTATCACCATTTAGCCAAATAACTTCGGGTTTTGCACATTTGTGTTTTAGCATTTACGAAATCATACAGCTATTTTTAAACGATTTGGTATTTATGTTGGCATCTATTACAGATTTTGTTCACTGCTGCAGTTTTCCACTCGTCAGCTGTGTAACCAGAAGTTTATCATGGATACAATCAGAGCAGGAGAGATTTGCGGAGAGCACCTGAGCAATCACTGGTGTTTTTGTTATTTGTCCTGTGACAGATGATTTTCAGGAATATTTAAGGAGCTAGAACCTGCTACTGATGAACATGCCACTGAAACAACAGTCCTTTGTAAAGGAAAACCACTCTTCTTTTGATATAAAACAGCTTGTCTGAATGCTGGAGTGTATACATTGAAGCTCTGATTACTGCTTTTAAAAAAATTTCACATATATTCTCTCTAACAAGCCCTATGACAGGTGCAAATTTCCCCAGTTTTCAAATTGGGAAATAGAAAACTAAATTTGCCTCAGTGTCATGTGGATGACTAAACGTTGTCTTGGCCCAATTTGTGCTGCTAAAACAAAATACCAGAGACTGGGAAATTTATCAAGAATGGAAGTTTATTGGCTTAGAGTTTCGGGAGCCTAAGAAGCCCAAGATCAATGACCGCATGTGGTGAGGGCCTGTTTTGCTGTGTCTCCACATGGTGAAAGGTTGTTACATGAGCAAGAGGGAGCAACATGGGGCCCTCTCGACCTAATCACCTCTTAAAACTTCCATCTATCAACACTGCTGCACTGCGGACTAAGTTTCTAACATGAGCTTTGGGGAATGCATGTAAACCATAGCTGCGGAACAGCTTGCGGAACAAGAACCCTGATTCGCTCCCAGTTTGCCGTTAGCCATGCTTTCTACATGTTTCCATAACAAGAGAGCAATGATTGAGGCCAATCAGCTCGCATTTCAGTATTTGAGGAAAATAACATTTGTTTCTCTCCCTTCTGCTCTGGGTTACAGTTACCACCCCATCTATATTTTTCCATATAAAAAAGTCTGTGGATGTCAGATGTTATGGGCTCCTTTAAAAAATAGTATTTACTTAAGGCATACAACATATCATTTTGATATGCTTACAAGTATAATGAACTCACTACTACAGTCAAGCAAATGAACATGCCCATCATCGTACAGTTACTTTTTCTTCTGTGGTAAGAGTGCCTAAAATCTAGTCTCTCAGCAATTATTCTGTCTGCAGCTCAGCATTATTACCTACAGGACTTATGTAGTAATTACACGTAGACCATGAACTCCCAGAAGACACTTATGCACAGACACCAATATCCCAGGAAACAATACACAAAACCCTGACTGACCAGGAAACAACAAACACAGGTTCAGGCCTCAGAACACACATACATCTCACCTCCCAGGAAATGACACAGGCCCACAGACTCTGTCTTCCCCAGAAACACATAGTCCCTGACATTCCAGGAGACAACACATGTGCAGACCCTGGCATTCCAGAGACAACACATGAAGACCCTGACCTCCCAGGAGATAAAACGCAGACCCTGGCCTGCAAGGAAACAACAGAAACACAACCTGTAGCATCTGAGGAAACAAAACACACAGATTCCGGCCTCCCAGGCATCAAAACACATGTAGACCCTGACCTCGATGCAAACAACACATGTGCACCACAGCGTCCCACGGAACAACAAAGATCTGAACTCTCAGAAGACAAAATACATGAGAATCCTGACCTCCCAGGAAACAACACACACAGACCCT